TATTTGACCAAAGCAACTCCTGGGTGAGTTCTCCAATCCCAGAGATCGAGCCAGAGAAGCTGTACACCTGAACTAAATCAGGGTGATTATATAGTTTGTAGGTGAGGGGTGATGATGCGTCTGCCACAAGCTAGGTTTGTGCCCGAGAAAGCAGGGATGACCTCTGCTGAGTCCTGGCCTGGGTCTGTGAGAACCGGAGGGAACCACTGTCCTCTTCGGAACCTTTGTGACACAGAAACCCAGCTGGTCATCCAGGCTACCCTACAGGTATAATTTACATCCAGCAGGGAGGTGACAGAGATGTCTCCCAAGGCTAGGAAGTGAGAAACTGGAGGATGGTTGTTGAAGGGAATTCATCTGTGATCACTGGTGTCACTAGTCAGAGTCCTGTTCCAGGACAGGTGTCCAGGACTATGACTCAAACAAGCAAAAGCAAAATCAAAAACAAACAAACAAAATAAGTGTAGTAGTCAGGAGCATTCTAAAGCACCTAAGAACGATTTTTATTCTTTATATTTTTTAAGGCATATTAGACAGAGTTGGCTAAATACTCCAGACAGCGCCCTGAGAGGTTTACTAAGCAAGGCTACACAGCTAGGAAGTGCCTAGTTTTACATGTGCGTAGCCTCTGCGCTAAGGAGGCTGAGGCAGGAGGATTTTTGGTTGGGGACCAGTGTAATGGGAATATGGAATGAGTTCCATGCTAACTAGGGTCAACCATCAGTAAAAAGTAAATGTAAATTAATAAATCGGAATAATTGACTCAGTGGTAAACCGAAGGGATATTTGGAACTCAGTCTCACGGTAGTCAGAAGATAAAGTTCTTCTCTACTCACAAACTGCTGTCCTTTCCGATTCTACCTTCAGATGTCCAACAGCTGAGTCAGATGTACCCTCTAGGCTCCCGCAGACCCCTGGCTACACAGACTCTTTCCAGTCTCTTAGTGAGTTTTTCTCTCTAATGGCCTAAGGACTGGACCAAGACTCACAGTCACCCCCTGTGTGTCTATGATAGATCAGGGCACAAGGCAGGGGCTCAGGAACTGGGGTTCCTTTGTGGGTGAAGGTCACTGGGCAGGGCCTTCTCTGACCTGCAAACTCTTTCCGGTGCTTAAGAAGGCAAAATGGGCCGGGCGGTGGTGGCCCATGCCTTTAATCCCAGCACTCGGGAGGCAGAGGCAGGCAGATCTCTGTGAGTTCGAGGCCAGCCTGGGCTACCAAGTCAGTTCCAGGAAAGGCACAAAGCTACACAGAGAAACCCTGTCTCAAAAAACAAAAAAGAAAAAAAAAAAAAAAAAGGCAAAATGGTAGCTGAGAAAGCCAGAGTCAGCAAGCAGGCTTCTTAGGGGGCAGCCATCTCCCCATCCCCACCCCACCCCACCCTCACACCTGGCCATCATCTGCTCCAGGACAAATAAATGTGCCACTGACCAGTTATCACAAAGCAAGAAGTGGGCGCTGCCGGCCTGGACCTCCGCCAGGATTTCCCAGTGTGACCCTGGAGGTCTGCACAGCTAGAAGTCACATCAACCAGAGCCCTAGGGACCAGGTGGGACCTGAGGTGTGGACGTCGATCAGAGAGATGCACAGGCAGTAAACAAACAAACAAACATTACATCTGCAGAGATGGTTGGGGTGCTGGGGTGTTTTCCTCTCCTGTGTCACAGGCGGTGAGAGCAGCGGGGTCTGGAGAAGGGGAGCTGCTCTACAGGCCCAGCTGGCCAGGGTTCACTTCCAAGTTACCCTGTCCTTGTGCAAAAGCTGAAGAGAAAGACAGGCATGCAGGACGTCAGCATGAGGGCAGCTGGCTGAAGTTCAGGAACTGGAGACCCTGTACAGTCAGGATGGTGGGTTTGCAGTGGGGTCTGGGTGCCGGGTAAGGAAAGGTGAAATCTAGCCATGAGTTCTTTTATTATCTGTGGGCCATCATTAATCATTTATACAGTAAGAATTTGAACACATTAAAAAAAAATAACCTTCGCTGGCCTTAGTGGCACCCTCCTTTAGTCCCAGCACTTAGGAGGGAAGGGATTTCATGGTCTCTGCGGGCTCCTCAGTCCTCCCTCCGTGGAGAAGAGCTTCAGCCCTGCTCCCCAGCTCCATGCTCTGCCGTCATTTCTGATGTCTTCCTCCCTCTGACCTCAGCCTCCTCCCAGGCAGGAGCACCTTCCAGAATCACAGAGACTGTGGGTGGCTCTGTGTCCAAGGCCCTGCTCTGTCCCCTGCCCTCTCAGGCTGCCTCCCATCCCTCATCCCTCCTCCCTCTCTGTTTCATCCTCCACACCACACAGTGAGCAGCGGGGCTGGGGAGGGTCTGTGCCCTGAGAGAACAGCAGCTCACCCCAGGGATGACTCTGCTGGTCCTGGCCTGGGGCGGTCAGAACCAGAGGGAACCGTTGTCCTCTTCAAAACCTTTGTGACAGAGAAACCCAGCTGATCATCCAGACCTCCCTGAAGGTAGAATTTACACCCAACATGCAGAGCTATCTCCCAGGGCTAGGAAGGGATCAAATAGGAGTTGACTGTGTAAGGGAACTTATCCATGATCACTGATGTCACCAGAGTTCACTTCCAGGACAGGTGCCCAGGAGCAGGTGTGTCAGGAGTGTGACATCCTGTGTGCAGGAAGAAGTGACCTGTGTCCTGAAAAGAGGATGTGGGTCCATCTTCCTGTGGAAGGATCCAGAGAGGCCTTGAGCTTCCTGTGTGGCTGGACAGTGCCTGGGTCTTTAATAAAAGTCTACACTGGGCTAAAGACGCTGCTCAGTGCCTGGGTCAGACCCCAGCACCACATATTCCAGGAGTACTGGCACCTCTTTGTCACCCTAGGCCTGGGGAGCTGGAGGCAGGAGGGCCAGATGTTCAAGGTCATCATCAGCCACAGATGATGCCAGGCCAGAGTGGGCAACACCAGAGTGTGTCTCAAACAAACAAAAAAAAGTATAAATGTTGTAGTCCAGAGCATTCTAAAGCACTTAAGAAGGTTTTTAATTAACTTATTTATTTATTTATTCATTCATTCATTCATTCATTCATTCATTCACTCACTCACTGTTTTTGGGAGATGGTTTCTCTGAGTAGCGCTGGCCATCCTTGAACTCACCCTGTAGACCAGGCTGGTCTCCAATTCAGAGACTTGCCTGCCTCTGACTTCGAAGTGCTGGGATTAAAGGTATGTTTATTAGACAGAGTTAGCTAAATAGTCCTGACAGCGACCTTAGAGGTTTAATAAGCCAAAGCTACACAGCTAGGAAGTGCCACCCTAGTTTTACATGTGCACAGTCTCAGCCCTTGGGAGGCTGAGGCAGGAGGATTCTGATGTTGGGAATACACCATGAGTTTCCAGGGTAACTGGGCTCAACCAAAAGTAAAAAGCAAGTGTAAATTAATAAATAGGAATGAATAAGTAATTCAGTGGTTAAACCGAAGGGATATTTGGGACTCAATCTCACGGTAGCCAAACGAGAAAATTCTTCTCTACTCACGAACTGCTGTCCTTTCCGATTCTACTTCAGATGTCCAACAGCTGAGTCAGATGTCCCCTCTAGGCTCCCACAGACCCCTGGCTACACAGACTCTTTCCTGTCTCTTAGTGAGTTTTTCTCTCTCATGGCCTAAGGACAGGATCAAGACTCACAGTCACCACCTGTGTGTCTATGATAGATCGGGACACAAGGCAGGGGCTCAGGAACTGGGGTTCCTTTGTGGGTGAAGGTCACTGGGCAGGGACTTCCCGGCTCTGCAAGACTTTCCAGTGCTTAGGAAGATGAAGACAGCTAAGAAAGCCAAAGCCAGGAAGCACCTACCCCACCCTCACACCTGGCCATCATCTGCTCCAGGACAAATCAATGTGCCACTGACCAGTTATCACAAAGCAAGAAGTGGGCGCTGCCGGCCTGGACCTCCGCCAGGATTTCCCAGTGTGACCCTGGAGGTCTGCACAGCTAGAAGTCACATCAACCAGAGCCCTAAGGACCAGTTGGGACTAGAGGTGTGGACGTCGATCAGAGAGATGCACAGGCAGTAAACAAACAAACAAGCATTACATCTGCAGAGATGGTTGGGGTGCTGGGGTGTTTTCCTCTCCTGTGTCACAGGCGGTGAGAGCAGTGGGGTCTGGAGACGGGGAGCTACTCTACAGGCCCAGCTGGCCATGGTTCTCTTCCAAGTGATCATGTCCTTATGCAAAAGCTGCAGAGAAAGACAGGCATGCAGGACGTCAGCATGAGGGCAGCTGGCTGAAGTTCAGGAACTGGAGACCCTGTGCAGTCAGGATGGTGGGTTTGCAGTGGGGTTTGGATGCCGGGTAAGGAAAAGTGAAATCCATTCATGACTTATGTAAATATCTGTGGGCATTTACCCATCATTCATAAAATAAGAAGTTTGAACATTTTTTTAAAAAAGCAATCTAGGAGCTTGAGAGGTGGCTCAGCAGTTAAGGGTACTGGCTGTTCTTCCAGAGGTCCTAAGTTCAATTCCCAGCAACCACATGGTGGCTCACAACCACTTTTAATGAGATCTGGTGCCCTCTTCTGGCCTGCAGGGACACATGCAGGCAGAATACTGTATACATAATAAATAAATAAATCTTAAAAAAAAAAAAGATAAAGATAAAGAAAAGAAATCTAATGGGCATAACGCTGCACCCCTTTAATCCCAGCACTCTGCAGGCAGAGAGAGGCGGATCTCCGTGAGTTTGAGGCCAGCCTGCTCTCAGTGAGTTCCAGGACAGCCAGGACTACTTGATGAGACCCTGTCTCAAAACAAAACAAAACAAAACAAAACAAAAGAAAACAAAAAACTTAAGTCTTAAAGAATGGATCTTTGAGACAGATGGGAGGGGAGAGGAGGAGACAGGAAAGCACAGGCCACAGCATGGCCTTGGGCAGAGACCCTGCTCACAGCCCATGTGACTCTGGAGATGCCCCTGGGCTAAGGACAGTGGAAATAAGAGGGAAGAACACCAGCAGGGTTGACACAGGACAGCACCCTGGGGAGCAGAGACCATGGAGTCCCCTTCTCTACTTCTGTGCAAAGGGCTCCTGCTCACAGGTGAGACCAGCCCTGGAGAGCTGTGGGGAGGGCGCTCTCAGGAAGGGAGCCTGGGAGGAGACTCTCTTTCTGCTTCAGCCTGAGGGGAGAGGACTCAAGGAGAGACAGAGGCTGCTCAGCTGGAAGCTTCCAGGGACCCGGGAGTGTTAGGAGGGGAGGAAAGGCCACATCATTTTTTTTTTTTTTTTTTTTTTTTTTTGGTTTTTCTTGACAGGGTTTAGTTTTTGGAGCCTGTCCTGGACTAGCTCTGTAGACCAGGCTGGCCTCGAACTCACAGAGATCCACCTGCCTCTGCCTCCTGAGTGCTGGGATTACAGGCGTGCACCACCACGGCCAGGCCTGCCAGATCATTCTTTATTGGAAGTTAGTCACAGGGGTCCTGACAGGGGTGGCCATGGTAATGGGGTGTGCTTCCCACCAGAGATTACCAGCGAGGGGTACACAAGAGGACTGCAAAAGTCCTGGGTCAGGTCCAGGCTCTTGGGTTTGTAGCCCATCATGGGCTCCGGAATGGGGGTCAGGGCCTTGATGCTGTGCTGTGGGGGGTGTTTGGAGTTTCCAGGGAGGGTCACTTTGTGGAGGGCGTGCAAGGGACAGAGCTGTGCTGAGGGAGACCTCGGTGGGTTGGGGCTTTTAAAACAGACTGGGCAATGAGGTGGGAGGATGATGGAGAAGGGCCTGGGACTCTACACGGGGCGTGGAAGCCTCCTGTGTGTGAGGAGAAGGAGCTGGCATTACTGGCAGAGAGGAAATGTTGGGACTATGGAGGAGGCAGCCCTGGAGAGATTCTCTTCATGGGAAAAGAACTGAGATGCCTGAGATGCGATACAGGAACAGACCAAGATCTGTTTTTGAAGCCACGTTTATTCAGTGCTGGAGAGGGTGTGGTATACTGAAGAATAAGGGCTGCTGGGAAACAGGAGGCTTCTTTAAGACCATTGGGAAGGGAGAGGGGATTGTCACTGTGGGCAAGTGAGGAGTCGAGGTGGGGCCAAGGAAGGGTACCTTAGGTGCCTTCACTGAGCAGGAGATGTGCTCTAACCCAGTGAGGTTTGAGATCGCATGTTCCTACGTGTCTGTCACTCTCAGGAATTGGGACACTTAGGAAGCAGATGACCTTACAAGCTGAAACAGGCTGTTTCTCTCTTCATACAGCTTCAGGGGACCCCAGAATCTCCTGGAACGGCAGCTGTGGGAGACAGGGAGTTAGCTATTTACTACCCCTTGGAATTAAAATTTTCCAGAAGTCCAGAAGCCCAGGGTCATGTGACAAACTCCATTCCAGGCCCATGCCCACTAGGCTAGCATGTGCAAAATGCCAGGGGAATGTGTTCGGATTAGTCACTAACTCAAAACTGACATTCCAGCCTCTTTGGGCGGGTGTGCGTGCACGGGTGTACACGTACACACACACACACACACACACACACACACACACACACACACACACACACACACGGGGTGGGGGAGGATAAGGACACACATTATGGGAAAGATGGTTCTTAGACACCAACTCATCTGGCTTCCACAAGCCTGACGGGGATGAAGAAGAAGACCCTTTTTCCCTTCATTCCTTGTTCCTTGGTGGGTTCTAAGTTGTTGAGTCTCGGGCTCTGATGGGCACTCTCGAGTCAGGAGGGTGTTGTCCACGTGCCTGAGCAGTCTGTTGGACTCTATTATAGATGAACCGGTTCAGGTCTGCATTAAGGAGGGACCCAGGGTTGTGAGCATCGGGTGGTTATTAGAGGAGTCCCATCCAGCGTCCACCAGGAGCTGCATGCAGTTGTGATGCTGTGGGAGCCACTGTTGGACGGCTTTGGCCTGAGTTTGGATGCCGCAACCATGGCCTCTTTGCTCCTTCTCTGCCCAGGTTTCCGTGGTTCCCATGCAGCATAGTGCTTCCTCCAGAACAGTGGTTCTCAACCTGTGGGTCGCAACTCCTGTATGGGTCGAATGACCGTTTCCCAGGGGTCAAAAAGCAGTATTCTGCATGTCAGATATTTCTATTATGTTTCATAACAGCCGCAAAATCACAGTTATGAGGAAGCAACGAAAATAATTTTATGGTTTGGGGTCACCACAATATGAGGATCGGTATTAAAGGGTCGCAGCATTAGAAAGGTTGAGAACCGATGCTCTAGAAAAAGGCAAACTCCTCTCCTTTCTCAGTCACCATGAAATCTTAGGCTCTCCTGTCTTGTAGGAGGCCTTCTGGGAAGGAATTGATCTGAGTTTGAATTTTAATTAGGCTATGTGACATTTCCGCACAATGATGTAGAGACACACACACAGAGAACACACAGAGACACAAAAACAACGATGGACAGAGGCACTTACACACAGACATGTAAATTTACGAAAAATAATTTAAGTCAAACTGGGGTATTAAACACTGTCATTAGCTTTAAAACTGAAAATTCTGTAGTAAGCCCCTGGATACCCCCTGGCCTTGCACATTCATTCATTCATTCATTCATTCATTCTTCCACAGAAGTCTGAGTCTTTCCCAGGCACATGGCCTTCCCAAAGGCCCTTCCTTCCCTAGCCCCTGTACTCACAAAGCCCTACTTCTCATGGACTGGAAGGAAGACACAAGGTCTTCTGGAAGGTGCAGCCAGGGGTTGGCTGTAAACATACGGAACAAACTAACAACGTTCAGGTCATGACAGACCAGGGTCTCTAGAGGAGGAGGTCGGGAAGGTATCCTCAACCCCAAATACACTCTTGGGTGTGAGGAGAGACCTAAGGGCAGTGAGCGGGGAGCCATGCAGACACTCGGAGAGAGTTCCATGCAGAGGACCCAGCAACTGCAGGGAACTGGAGAATGTGGGTGAAGAAGTTCTCCTGCACCGCGTAGGAGAGGCACACCCTGGCCACACACCTAGGCTGAGAGATGAACACTTCTGCTGAGGACTTAAGTTCCTCTTATCACCAAACACTAAGGTCCCCACACTGATGGAGTTTCTCTCTTTCTCCCCAGCCTCCCTCTTGACCTGCTGGAATGCACCTACTACTGCCCAGCTCACTATTGAATTAGTGCCTCCCATGGTGGCTGAAGGCGGAAACTCCGTTCTGTTTGTGCACAAAATGCCGCTGAACGTCCAGGCATTTTACTGGTACAAACAGAAAGATCCGGCGAAGAGCTATGAAGTTGCCCGGTACTTAACACCCGATAACACAACTTCGAAGATGCCTCAACACAGCGGCAGGCAAACGGTGTTCTACAGTGGATCCCTGCTGATCAGAAACGTCACCCAGGCTGACAGTGGATTCTACACCTTACTAACATTTAACACAGAAATGGAAAGCGAACTAACACACGTGTATCTGGAAGTCCATAGTAAGTGATTGTGTGACCTCTGGGTGGGGGGTGTGAACCCTGGGTGCGGGGTGGGGTTCATTCCATTTTACACATACAGGACCACCAGGCATAAACGATGCCCGTCTCCTGCATGTACCTCCTCACTGGATTTTGAGCATTTAGTGCAGGACACACATCGGGAAGAAAAATTACAGTAGGTCAGAGTCCTGTACCTGAGTCTGCCTCCAGAGAGGAGGGTGTGTGTGTGCTCTGTAACTCTGTCTGAGGTGTCACCCTTAGCCCAAACTCTTGGGGCTTCACCAGGAACATGGCCCTGAGAAAGACAGTTGGGCTTCAGGCAGGGTCTGACTTCGGAAACCGTGGGGCCCTCATAATGAGGTGACCACAACAAAGTCCTGACTCCAGATCTCTGTATTGTTTGACTCTTGTTAGGAGGAACCAGTCCATGCCCTGAATGGAGGGCCACAGTTGGGCTAGGTCACCTGGGCATCTTTTTCTGAGGCTCAGCATAGAGAGCCCCGATGTTCTGAGGGGTTCATGAGGACACAGTTCCTCCTGCCAACAGCTTGTCCTCAGGGGTCCAGTCCAATCAACTCGATCCTGTAGGCAGAGTGACAGACTCAGACAATTTTGGGAAGTTCCCCCTTCTGAAGATCAGGTCCTAGTTCATATTTAAGGTCACTTTGCAGACATGGCAGTGATTATTTATCATGGGCATTATTATTATTATTATTATTATTATTATTATTATTATTATTATTTTGGTTTTTCAAGACAAAATTTTTCTGTGTAGCCCTGGCTGTCCTAGATCTCGCTCTGTAGACCAGGCCAGCCTCGAACTCACAGAGATCTGCCTGCCTCTGCCTCCCTAGTGCTAGGATTAGAGGCGTGCACCACCGCTGCCCAGCCATGTGTCCTATTATATGGAAACAGAGACATAGCACAGGAGCGGATTCAGGGCCGCACACACATGGGTGGCAGATCGAAGAAATACATGTCTGTCTATGGCCTCAGGCCCAGCTTCTCTACCCTGGAGGCCTTACCTGTGTCCGTGGACCAGAGAGGCCTGGCTGGGATCTGAGGATGAACCACCATCATTCTGTCCCCTCCCCTGTTCCTTCACAGAGCCTGTGACACAGCCCATACTCCAAGCAGACAACACCACAGTAACAGAAGATGGTTCCCTGGCCCTCACCTGCCTCTCAGAAGACCCTGGACTCTCCATCCGCTGGTTTTTCAATCACCAGAGCCTGTATTTCAATGGCAGGATGACGCTGTCCCAGAAAAACAGCCGACTCATCATAGATCCGGTCAGGAGGGAGGATGCTGGAGAGTATCAGTGTGAGGTCTCCAATGGGTACAGTTCTAAGACGAGTCTCCCAATCCAAATGTCTGTGACCAGTGAGTGACCTCTCCTCTCTCCAGGCACCACACTGGGGGTGGGTGGGGAATTTCTTCGTCAATGATGTGGAAAATGGAGAACCGTACCAGGGGGGAAAATCATCAGCGAAGACAGCAAGACAGCCAGCGTGAGGACACAGACCTGGAACCCCAGGTTAGACATGAGTCAGGAGGAATGTGAGTACAAGGTTAGGTTAACCGGCTGGGGTTACAAAGAGACACACAATCTCAAATAAAATAAAATAAAATCCAATAGAGTAAGCAAAACTGCAAAGGGATTAACTAAGGGCTTAGGTTCTGAGTCAAGTATGGCTAATCCTAGAAAACCATGGGGAACTGATTTCAGGAGCCCCTCAGACTTCTGGATATTCTGAATCCCCTGTTAAAAATGGTGCAGTGCTTACATAGAAGCAAACCTATCCTCCCATGAGCTCAAATCATTTCTGATTCCTAACACCAGTGCTGCCGAGACACCATCACCCATGTGAAGCGAGGAAGAGCGACAGGAGAAGGGTCTGCCCACGCTTCACCGAGCACATAGCTGGTTTCTGAATACTTTTGATTCTCAGTTTGTTCTACCCACAGATGGAAAACGCATGGTGTAAAGGCCCAATTGGACTGTTTCTATGCTGAGATTGGCATTTACAGTGTGACCCTGAACACGATTTTTATTTTCTGTTAAAAGTATTGGGGGGGGGGGGCAGAGTTGTGAATTTGAATGGCTTCCCATTTTAACCGTTTTGAAGCGTACAGTTCATTGGCATAAAGCATCGTTATATTATTGTGCAAACACCACCACTGTCAGTTTCCAAACCATTTCTAAACATATTCCATTTCCTACAGCCCCTGATAATGGGCATTCTACTTCTGTCTCTATGTATGTGGTGTTCACCTTTTTTTGTTAACATCGTACAAAGTTTGATTCTGTTCTCTCAAGCCATTCTGTTGGTGGCATCTTGCTGGCTGGATATTCATTAAAGAGCATCCCTGGTACGGTTGATACATCTTTGGTTGGTTATTTTACATTCTTGTGTACCGTCAGCCACAGGATGACAGTCTGTCTTACTTGATTTTCAGCCTTAAATTCATTTGTAACTCCCTGGGACTCCTAGAGTCGGTGTAGACATCAAGGAACCCGGGTAGCGTTCTCTCAACCTTGGGGTTAGTGTTGCTAAGAGGAGGAGAGGCAAAGGCTCCAGTCGGGTAAAGGGCATGCGCAGTTGAACTAATTCCAGCTAGGGTCCTGTACCAGTTGAGTGGCAGCTTGAGTAATGCTGCCCTGTCCACAGCACCCCCTTGTGGCAGCTCAGGACACAGTGAGTGTTGAGTGATTGCTACATCCCCTCTGTTGCCTGAGACATTCAAGACATTGTTACAGGCTGGAAGAGGCCTCACCAGGGTGGTGGGGGTGGAGGGGGGTGGGGGGGTGAGCACCTACTACCCTGCCATGTGAGACATGAGGAGTAATTCACCATCCCTGCTGATGAGGAGGTTCCAATATGCCGGCCTGTATATTTGGGAACAAGAGCAACAGAATCTGCCAACTCGTACCTCTCCATGCTTCCTTACCCCGTAACAAAGCTAGCATGCATTTACTCCTGTGGGTCTCTATGTCCCATTGTTGCTGAAGTTTTCCTGGTCCGCTCCCGAGGCCCTGCAGCTACTTGGAGCCAAGTAAACACACAGAGGCTTATATTAATTAAAACTGCTTGGCCATTAGCTCAGGGTAACTATTGACTAGCTCTTACACTTAAATTAACCCATAATTCTTATTTATGTTTAGCCACGTGGCTTGGTACCTTCTCTCAGTTCTGCCTTCACATCTTGCTTCCTCTGTGTCTGGCTGGCGACTCCTGACTCAGCCTTTCTGTTCCCAGAATTCTCCTCTCTGCTTATCTCGCCTATACTATACTTCCTGCCTGGCTACTGGCCAATCAGCATTTTATTTATCAACCAAATCAAAGCAACACACATTCACAGCATACAGAACGGCATTCCCATCATCCCATCTAAGGGAAAAGTGTACTGTTGAGGCTGGGGATGTCCTGCAATGCAAGAGTATCAACCACTTTTGTTGAGTGTGTGTGCACTGTTACATCAACCCATTCTACCCAAGCTTTCATTCTCCAGATCCAGTTTCTCCCAGGACATTAGACAAAGTTACAACAAAGAAAGTCTACTGACAGCATGTCCTTTAGGCAACCAGGTACTGTCAGGTTCCTTGCAGAGTTAATCTTACGGGCTCCATAGATGATCCATGGGGAGAACTCAGGACACATGTTTGTCCATGAAAGAAAGTTCCCTCTGGACATGCATCAACTTGGGCAGTTAGCAGGAAGGCTGTTTTAGCTGTTAAATCATCAATTTCCTATGAAAGATTGGGGTCAAGGAGACCAGGGACACTGGAATGAAAATCAGCAAAAAGTAAGACTCAGCTTACTTGGGAAGCAGAGGGCAGACTCTTTATTCTTAGCCCATTATACTGTTACAGCTCTAATTATCAAATCCATAGTGCATAAGATACCAGTGTGTAATATTTACACTTTTCTTACTGGACAAAGAGCTGCTTTTTATATGTTACCAGTTGAGCCTTTTCCCAGAAGATAATTGCAAAGGACATGACACTTAGCCAACGAAACACTCGTCGGCTTGTGAAGGCAGTATGTTCTGCTACACTCTGTGAACATCCTCTTGTTTTAAAGAGACATCTGCATTGTCCTGCCCTGACATCAATTCAGAAAGTCTCCATCAATTTCTCATTACCTTTTTCCCCCCATTTTTATTTATTTATTTTTCTATTATCAGCTTGATACAGTATAAATTCTTATCCTAATAGTGAAATGTTTCACTGAGGCTTGCCCAGTTATTGAGTAAAACTAAAACTTATTATAAGCCACAGTCAGCCTAGGGTCACCTCTGCTATATAGCCTCCCTGGTTCTGTGGGTTGCAGTCTGATTGTTCTTTGCTTTATATCTAGAATCCACTTATGAGTGAGTAAATACTATGTTTGTCCTTCTGGGATTGGGTTACCTCACTCAGGATGATATTTTCTAGTTCCATCCATTTGCCTGCAAATTTTATGCTGTCATTGTTTTTCTCTGCTGAGTAGTACTCCATTGGGTATATGTACCACATTTTCTTAATCCGTTCTTCAGTTGACGGGTGTCTAGGTTATTTCCAGGTTCTGGCTATGACAAAAGTGCTGCTAAGAACATAGTTGAGCATGTATCCCATTATCCTTCTACATTACATCATATCTGGCTAACTTCTTTGTCTTTTTTTTTCCCCTTGAGACAGAGTCTTATGTATCCCAGGTTAGCCTCAAACTTCCTGTGTAGCCAAGGATGACTCGGGACAGAAGATTCTCTTTCCTCTTTTGCTAAGTGCTGGGATTACATGCCTGCACTTTCACCCTAGTGCTGGAGATGGAATCCGTGTCTTCATGCATTCCAGGTCAGCAAGGCCAGCACTGTACCAAGTGAGTCCTTTTTCTCGTGTTTTATTTTTTGCTGCAAGCTGCAGGAAGACGTAATGGAATTCAGCTACTATCACAAAAGCTACTACTTGGAAAAGTCAAGGACTTCTCCAAAGGTCAAGCCATGGCTTCAGAAGTCTTGGTGATTATTTAGCAGCTGGTTCTTACAGTGAATTTCTTGTAATGCTATGCATGCTTCCAAGAACTCCTAACAGTGTATTTATCTAAAATACCTATCAAGCACCCAAGGCCAAACCAAACAACCCCTGTCTCCTAGGTCAGGAGGATAGCTTTATTCTTGTGCAATTTAGGGTGAGATCCTCCTTCTTTACAGCCTTACTAATAGACTCCTAATTTCTTACCTAATCACTGAGCACACAGATCCCTTCTTGATATACATTAGCTCTCAATTGACCTCCTCTTAAACACTCCATTTTGGGTTGTAAAAGAAAGCCTGAGAGGCACTGCCTGAGGAAAATTCTTACCTGCCTTTATGACCCTGTAGGAATTCAAGCCTGGTGACCTGGCTGGAGGGGGAGGATTGCTATGGCTTGGGTTTATAACTGAACACCTCAGAGACTTGGGAGAACTTAGAGGTATAAGGAGACAAAGAGGAAGGGAGGAATGGAGAACTTGAGGACGGAGAACTGAGAGGGATAAGGAGGATTTTGACCAGAGAGAACATGTGGACGAGATGGAAGATGAGGAAGAGCCAGATGGGGAAGTACTAACTGGGTAAGAATGAGATGAGAAGGACCTAGATGAGGCAGAATTAAGATTAGGCAGAATTAAGATAGAACTTAGAGGGGACAGTAGATAAATATAGAGAGAAATCAGGCAAGAAAGGAACTAGGCTTGAGAACAGAACTGAAGCTGTGTAGATAGGATTTTATCTCAGAGGAATAAAATAGATGGACAAAGAGCATGAGGTACTTACATTCTTTTTCCAAAAATAATTCTCACCGTTCATAGTTTCTCTCCTGAGCCCCTGGGAAGTATAACATTAAGGCTGGTCCTTTTAATATCATACAAGAGCTTTTGTTTGTCCAGTGCTGGCTAGGAATTTATACTCTAGGCAAGGGCTCTACAAACCCTCCTTTGGGTTTGTTCATTTGTTTATTTGAGACAAGATCTCACTATCTAACCCTGCCTAGCCTGGAACTTGCTATGGAGATCAAGCTGGCCTTGAATTCACAGAGATCCACTGGTCTCTGCCTTCTGAATGCTGGGGTTAAATGCATGAGCCACCCTGCTCAGCTTAATTTTTTTAATTGCCTGTGTGCATGTGTATCCATGTGATGGTACAAGCACATGAATGCAAGCATGTTGTATGATATTTTGCTTGTGTTTTGACAAATAAAGCTTGCCTGGAGATCAGAGGGCAGAGCTAGCCCCTAGTTAACCATAAGGGCCAGGCTGTGGTGGCACAGACCTTTAATCCCAGCACTTGGGAGGAGGAAGCAGAAAGAACAGGAATTGAAGGCCACCCTGAACTACAGGAGTTTGATCCAGTCTAAAAGAGAAACAGAGCTCGGTGGTAGTGCATGCCTTTGATCCCAGCACATGGGAGGCTCAAGCCTTTGATCCCAGGACATAGGAGGCTCACGCCTTGAATCCCAGCACCAGGGAGGTAGAGACAGGTATATAAGGTGGGTGGAGACAGTACGGCGGCCCCATTCAGTCTAAGGATTCGTAGAGACAGGATTCCCCTTTGGTCTGAGATTTCCTAGAGGTAAGAAGTCTCTGGTGGCTGGTTGCTCTGCTTCTCTGACTTTTCAGCTCTCACCCTAATATCTGACTCTGGGTTTTTATTGTTAAGACTAATTAGATTTACCCTTCACAAGTGCTCTCAAAGACTAAAGGGATTGGATTTCCCCGGGAGCTACAGTTACAGGTGGTTGTGATATCTACCTACCATGTGTACTGGAGACTGAACTTGGGCCCTTTGAGAAGGCAATGTGAGTTCTTATCCGCTGAGTCATC